ACTACAATGTTCAACAACTAAAAATTAAAAGTATTGCAAAGTTAAGATGGTGAAATATCTCTACATGACACAACAGTCTACAGTATCTCATATGAAGGAGAAATTTGAAATGTTTTTTTCTTAATACTTGTGCTTAATGGTGTTTTTTATATTAGCGGTTATATTTTATTTTCAACATTTGGTGGTGAATGAAATGTGACATATAAATGTGCAATTTGTTATCTTCCCAGCTCCCAGCACATTCTGGAGCAGAAATTCAGCATGTCAAAAGGCTGTTGTTGTGTGGATGTCATGTCATCGAGCCTGAAACAGGGCCGGACCTTGTTTTACAGTGGATTTCTATTGATTTACTAAACCACAGTATGTGAATCAATGTGTTTAGCTCTTTTCTAAAGCTCTTAGATCTTGTATAAACAATTTGGCTTTCCTGACGGTGGGAGGAAAGCTGATTTTTTGTCTTTATTTTGTTAAACTGTGTTCATTCCAAATGGACTCAAAGAACACTGAGGGTTTCAAAGAATGTTACAAACAAAAGCAGGCTGTTCGGATTGTCTAGCTTTTAACCATTTATTTACAGTAAGCCAAGGAATGACCTTCCACAACATGGCTAGGTACAGTAGCTTTGTCAAGAAACCCACAAACTTTGTATAGTCCGATACGAAACACCCAGGGCTGTGTTATAACTTTCCTCACCTTTGGGTCATACTGTGTTGTTTACAAACCATAGTTTTTCTATATCTAAATAGCCCAGGCCCAGGGTATAATTTATTTAAAAAAGCCACATCGCCACTCAGCCAGTAAGCAGGTCAAATTGCAGAAGCATGAATATTTGTACTGAAGTGTGAGTCAGTAAAATACCAAAGCAATGCTATGCCTCATTGCCATGGCAACTCAGAACCATCTGAGTTTCATAGTTAAACAACTAATATCCTGCTTTGAAGTAGCTCTGAATTATTGAAGCCCATATTTCCACATGACTGTGCTATTTACTGGAGGGACTGTTTCTTCTGCCCCTAGTGGCTATTTTTAAGTTGTTGATGTGAACATATCCATGCAGAGGAGGCTAAGCTGTTACTTCTAAAACACCTGCCGCTAATATGTTTTTTTCTTATGACAGTCCTCCCTACGATAACTTAATGAGAAACACAAATCATGTAATTCGTGGGCTTCGTATTTTAGCACTGTTTGTGTCAACATGATACAGGTCAGATGCTTCCCTATGTGCTGAACATGTAGGTCTCCTTAATCTGCGTCTTTAGTCAGATGGAATCCTCTCTTTCTGTGGTGTTCGCTCTGAAAACAGAAGCCAGAATGTCAGTGGCTTTTTTTTTTCAACTGAATTCTCATTAATCGGAAATATTAAGTTCCCTTTTTAATATCTCGAACATCCACACTGAATATGTGAAGATGCATGCAAAGGTTTCTGATTTTTTAATAAATGCTAAGCACGCTTGCATATATGTTTTGTCTGTGCCTTGCTGACATGAATTACGTCTTCAGAAATGTAAAATCCAGAAACCTAGAGAAGGTATATCTAGCCTGCATTGTAAGGTAAATATTCTACATAGAGTCTACAAAGCACAGACACAGCGGAACTGTAAAATGTAAAGTAGCTGCTTGGAAGGTAGGAAAGGCTTGACATCTCTGAGTAATAAAATTAAAAACTTGAAGATGGTGCATTACATAAGAAAGTCCTCTTGTGCTTTTAGAATTTTCTTAGATCATGTTCCAGAATCTACAGTAACTCAATACCCCACTTAATACCACATGATATATCTTTATCTCTCTGTCATCAAATGATATTTAGAGGATTAGGGATAGCGAGCAGAGAATGTATGATCTAATTTTGTGAGGATATAATTACAGGATTAAAAAAAGATAACGTTCTGCGTTTTTAATAATATTTATTTGTTGCTAATCAACCCAGGTTGACTAATTTAGCAGCACTGTGAAAGGCGCAGCATACTGAGCTCTGACAAATGCAATAAAAGTGATCTTAAATTGAAAATGCCTTTATTGTCATGAGCACCAAAGCTGGGATGCAGTCCAATAAAAATGACAAGTCTCATTGATGGCACAGATCGTACTACAGGTAAGTCGTTTAATATTGAAAAATAAGAGAGCATGGGTGCTCAAGTAATAGAGCAAATATACAAGCATACACCATAGGACTGAGCAATAACAATACAAAATAATTGTATTTGTGAATGCTTATTGTGTGTTTAAGCATTGTGGAATTTGGCTAAAACTGCCTGGTGTAGGAAAAATGTGAAGAGTTTTTCATGTGGTATTTCTAGCTTTTGGAAATGATGTGGAATGATTACAAGTTAGGCTAGCTGGGGTGAATTAGTAGGGATTGGTTGTCACTATCCCTCTCAAGTTTTTTTAAGAATCCGTTTAATACCAAATGTTCTTAATGTTTCAGACAAGTAACAGGAAGCTGTGTATCTGATGCCATTCAATTGAATTGCATCCCCCCAGAATTAGGTCTGTCAGAGAATGGGATTTTTTCAGTCTTAATTTCAATTACTTATTTTCTGAGAGGCTCCACTTTGAAGATCTAATATGGTCCTGCCAATCAGTATTCCAAAAGAAATGGTCTTACAGAGTCATCACCGTCTGGCATGTTTGAGGTTATCCAGTAAAAGCAACAAGGATAAACATGTGCCAAAGCAAAGGAATGTTCGTGCCATGTAATTGTTAGATCTTTGCCTACTTCTAGTGACATTGGAAGATTGGATTTTCAGCCTCCTTACCTTGGTTATCATTTTTCCTATACTGTACATTAACTTGATGAAATTTAACTACCAAAATCAGCAGCAGAGATACACTTGAGCATAATATTTAAAGTCTGAAAATGAAACTGATTAGAGTTAGCCTCCATGACTAAGCTATAGAAACCTGGGCTTTTTGTCATGTATTTCAGGCACATGAGTCATAAACACTAAGCTTTATACTGACTGGGCAGGTTTTGATTTTCACAGTGCCCAGCCTTTTCTTCTTCATTTCTTGATAACCAAACCATAATAGTTTGAGGGACTGGGTTTGCCTGGTTTGTGGTTTCACAATTTAACATCTGAAATTTTCCTACTGCTCTTTCTTCATTGCTCAGTCCCCGTGTTATGCGTGCAAGTTATACTGAAGTTACACTGAAGTGCTGACTTCAATATAGCTTGCATGTGGAACACAAAACACAAAAGCCATTCAATGACAAATCATTCCCAGTATGCTCCCCTCCGATGGAAAATATGCTAAAATGAATTAAAAATCATCAGATTAGACAGGTCTTTTCTGTATATGAGCCTGCCATTGAAGAGTCCACACCACAGGGAACAAAAACAGCAGTAGGTTCATGTTTTTGATAAAGACGTTGAAAGAGTCGATAAAAGCAAATTCTGAGAACTGGGTACTGGATCTAGTTTCTATTAAACTGAAAGGAAAATGTCTTCCATCTGTAAGAAAGTGATTTGTATTGTATGGCATGGTGAAATTTGGCTTATCCCACCCTGGCTGTTGGATGAGGAGGCTGGGACCCACATGCGGAGTTGGAGGAGCTGCAATGGGAAAGTTGGGTTGAGGAGAGATGTGAGATCAAAACCCACAAAAGAGGGTTACTTATGATATATATAGCTTTCAAGAAATGACATTTGGAATGGTTATGATTTAGAATAGATGAGGTGAAAGTGACTTGTTTTTTGTCATTTTTTCTGAACCTCTGCTAAAACCTCCTTGAAGTTTTTGTTACTTTTGTGACAAGCTAGATAAGTAAACACTCCTAAACAATTCTCCATCTTGAGAAGGTTTCAGCATTAATAGAGTGTCCCGAAATGTATGCTAACCTAAAGGACCAATCAGCCATCTTCCATTGTAATGTTTATTTTATTTTCTGCTTTTGAAAACATTAACATACAGTATCCATGTATTTCTGGTATAGGTCTATCTTTTCTGGAACATTAATCTTGTACTTGGTGTCCCTTTATGCTGTTTGTATTTTAAACACAGACCAGAGTACTTGTAATCCTACAGTGTGCATGGAAAAAAATAGTCTCAAACTCCATGTACAGCAACATGTACAGCAACATGTAAACTTGACAATAACTAAAGACAGGTGGTTATGGTGATGTTGAAGAAGGGTGTCATGTGCATTGGAATGTAAAGACTAATTGAGAACTTCTGATTGACAAAATTGATTTTTTAAATAGTTTGGTCAAATGCCAATATTGACTAAATGAGTTGATAAATATAATCTGATAGCGCACTTAATATTTTGGCATTAACTTGCCTGACTGAGGAAATGGATGCGCTGGCCAAAGATATGACCCCCCTCACTTAAAAGGAATGAACCAGGGAGCTGCTGCAAGGGTGTGGCTGGGGCGCAGGGAAATGAGCAACGGAAGATGCGTTCAGTGTTGGAGGCAGTCGGGAGTGTATTTATACTTGTTCAATTACACCATAAATGGTCAGATGAGACAAGTCCTCAATCATCATGAGCAGTGCAGAAGCTACCTTTCCATTCACAACTTTATGATGCATGATGTTTGCTCCACCTGCTGAGCCAGAGAGATCCACACAGTGCAAGCACAAAACAGAAGAAAGGCGAGGAGAAAGAAAGGAGAGGAGGCCACCCAGCTCATCCTGGCTGTTGATTCAAGAATCTCAAGAAAACAACACAATCCCAGCCTTCAACAGTAAAGCTGCCTTCTAGCTTCACTCCTCCCTGTCTCTTGAGAAACATAATGCACTAAATAAAAGTTTCATGCTCATGCAAACTAAACAAAAAAGTAAACCTCACGCTGTGCTAAATAGGGTGGGTGAAACAAGGTTTGTTTTCTGCATTAGAAGCCTAATATCTTGCTTCACACTGGACCTCACCTCAGGAATTGACTACAGTGCCCGTGTTGTGTTACATTTTTGATGACAGTCATACATTGTTTAAAAGAAAAAAAAGGAAAAACTGAAATGGATGCATTATTTATCATTTCTTGTTTTGTTTTTTTTAGATGCAAGCACTGGGATTTCTGACACTCAGCTGGAGGAGTCTTGACTACAGCGTGCCATAGGTGGTGTTTATATTTCCCATTGCCGGCTTTACTTCTTTCTTCAAGCCCTGCTTTGTAGCTCTTGCACTGTGAACAGATATCAGACTGACACATATTCTAACTTGATCTTGATGAAAGGAAAAGAGAAGACATTATCTTCTGGTTCTCCATACTTCTCCATACTATTATGACAACATGGATGCCGCAGAAGAAAGATGTGAAATATGTATTTCAAAAGCATTTAAGGAGCACTAGCACACAATTACAGAGTACAGCATTCTTACAGTTCACTATTCCACTGTTGTGCCACGCAGAGCCATATACAGATCCCTCCCCCAGTCCCTGTGCTATCATGTGGGTTTGTGTGACCCTTTCCAGGAATAAGTGGCTTTCTGATAATGGATGGATGGATGTTCAAGGCCTAACAAAACAAAGCTGGAGAGCTTTATTTTCTCAATGTTTCGAGCTGATTAATTAAAGCACTGAATTTCTGCTCCCCCTCTATTGAGTCTGTGTCACTTGATCTCTTTTCCGTCCCCATCAATCACATCTGTACCAAAGAGACTGCAAAGTCGAGTCTGCACTTTTTGTCAAGTGTCCAGCATTTTCCCTCTCTCGTGCAGTCGCGTCGGTGTTCCCTGATTTCTACAGTACATCTAGCCTATGGTCTGCATCTCAATTTTAAGGTAACATTCTGACCAAAGTACAAGTCAGTTATGTGGCTGAACATGAACGCTGGCTAAGTGGGAGATGAATGACTTTAGAAAATAGGGTTATAGTAGAAGCTGGATACAACGAATGGTTTAACTGCCAAGACGCCGTGATGGGCAAAACAATCCAGTGCAAAGAGGGGAAAGAATGACATTTTTAAAATTTATTTAATATGATTTTTAGTGCATCACTAATTCACTAAGAGTGATCACTCTTATATACATCACCCTTATGGGAAGGTTATTTTTGCAATTATTTAATGCATCTTAAATAATTAAATAAATCAACACTTTTTAAATACTATTTTTAATTCCAAAAGATCCCAAAACAAGAAGGGACCCACTTCATCCACTATTGAAGGGAACCACCCACTTGCTTGACTTCACTACAGCAGTTCTGGAGGACAAGTGAGAAAGTGCTTCATAAATGGAACTGAGAGGGAACTTTAGGAAGGACAGAGTATACAAAGCCAAATATGGAGTTTAATGGTGTTAATATCCAGAGTTTTATGAGCATTTACATGACTCTGGTCATCATACTGGTTTGAAAAATGTGGTCTAAAAGGAAAACTACCAACACAGCCCCTGCAATCTGGATTTCTTTAGAGATCTCTCATTCCAGTATTGACCTTAGCCTGCTTTAGCTTCTGTGATCTGACCAGATCAAGCAATAATTTGGTCACACTGGTTTCACCCAATTTTATGTGTGTGCAGTACCTCTTGGGGAAAGACTGGTTTAGCCCTTAAACTGGGGTTGTGTCTGTTTGTTACATTGGATCTTTCAAATGTAAACAGAAAATGTGAGAGGCTGGATGTTGAAATACAAACTCAGGTTTTCAAGTAAAATGGAGTTGATGGAGCTGCCAGAACTGTTTTCCTTAATCAATCCAGTGCAGATCAGAATACATCAAGGGGAAAAATAGCTATACTGTATAGACATCTTATGTCCCTGGGGAATCTCAGACCTTTTGTTTAAAGAATTATTTCACTTTTTGCTTTAAATACTTCCACCCCACCCATTTGATCAGGGTGCAAAAAAAAAATCAGAAGAAACTGTCCCTCCTCTTTTTATCAGCATCCTCGAGTTAAGAAGATTTTGAAGCAAAGTGAGAAGTTGTCTCTTTGAACTGCTCTTATGAATGCTGCAAAGCTCATGAAGGAGTCATACTTAATATGCTGAAATGTGATTAGTGTCTGAGTGTGAAATATCACTTCCTTATCTCTGAGTACCAGCTGACAAGGAAATTTCAAGGGATCCATTTTTGGCAAGGCTCACTACCAGGAGTGACAGAGATGATGTCTAAAATTCTACGGCTGTCTGAGAGCTTTGTTCTATTCTTTTGAGTTAACTATTTTATAGTAAAAATGTATATCATATATTTGCACACAGAAAGTATTAATGACAGGTCCTAATGTATTAGGACACAGCATGTTTTGTCATTTGTTAAGCTTAACAGTCCAACAATATATTAATTTAACAGTATTTGAAATTACATAGTATAGCAAATTTGTCTTGCATGAAAAGCTATAACAATACCATCTTTACCACATTCTTTTGTTTTGCAAATATCTTTGGGGCATTATCTTCTTACATAAAACTCTCAAAAATTATCTCTAAATAGAACTGGAAGAAAGACTAAAATACTGTAGCACTAAGACTCGACTATACTTATCTATCTTGTGAAGGTGACTCCTTTTAAAACTGGCATTGTATCACTTATGGCTGTGTGTTCTTTTCTTATCAATACACCTACTGTAGATAATCAACAATTGACAATTTTTAAAGTAAAAATCTGAAGCAAGGAGAAGAAAAAATATGAAGCTATTTCCACAATGCTTCTTTACCTAACCAAATAGAATCATATTTAATAATTGATGTCTTCCTCGTTTTTTCTCCATTATAATTTAATGGCTACAATTATCATTTGTAAGGACACAGTAAAAATACAGAACACTATTGTTCTTTTCCATGGGATCACTGTCTTCAATACAGGACCTGTCTCGTTTCATGCACACTCAAAAACTTTAACAGTGTCTACTGCAGATGAAGCAAGTGTGTCTGGTTTCAGATCTCCAGTAGCTACAGTACAGTATGTTTTCCCAAAAGTATCTGTGTAATCCTCCATACAGATGACAGATTTAGCCTGGTACAAAACTGGATATTTCCACACAAACTTTTAAATGTCTGGAAAAACTGAATCACTCCCAGTGGATGGGAGTTTAAATCAATACAACAGTTTCTTACAGACTGTTTCTTTAATATGATGGGTATGATTTAGTTTGGCTTGTACATTTCAGAAAAGGTTTATCTCAAACCAAAATTTAGATGTGTCAGAAAGGAGAGTGGTCTAGTACTCACAATCTTCTTTAAAAGGCAAACTAATTTTTTACTTCTCTAAAGTTCTGTCTTCTTCAAAGGAACTTCCTGATCATTCTCTAGCAGGCTATTTTATAATTAATATGCTACTATAAAGTATGTACATGAAAAGTAAAAAAAATAAATATGGCAGAATTTCATTACAGGTGAACAAAATCGATTATTTTTGAGGGGTCTGGATAACTTGATATTTTTCATTTAACACTCTTAGATATTTTGGATGAAATGTTAATAAATGTAAATATAGACTGCATATATTACTCACAGGATTAAAAAGTGCCTCCATTAAAAAGAATAAAAAAACATCAAACATTTGTGTTCTCACGTATATTCCAAAGTAAAAGTGTGGAACATTTTTGGGGATATAATATAAGTAAGTAATTATTAAAATTGATGTAAGAATTCAATAGCGAAAACAATCACACTAATGACATCATTAACTCCGGAACAGTTTTTTTTCTATGCAAGGCAACAAAAAGAAAAGCTTTTGAATTTCCGCATTGTTAATCTGCTTAAAGCTGAGTACTTTAATCAATCACTGTTCTCCAGATTCTGTCTCGCCAGAATCATCACACGAGTGACACAGTTATCTGCATTACATGTAATAACTGACATCGCCTCTTATCGGAACGGGACCACCGGCCAACCAGAACTGAAAGAAACGAGACCCTTCTGTTCACACAATAGCCATTCAAAGCCGTGGCATCATGTGTCTTCCTGATAGATCGCATAAGCGTACACTCAGGTCTTTGGACTTCGGTGTTCTGCTGCAAATAACACTGGTTTTCCCTATAGTACAGACCTTGTGGGATCTGTCTGCAGCGCACGTTTTTCAAATCAGAGGGCTCAGCACTGACTGGACTGAAAATTAACATTCAGCAGAGGACTGCAGTGAGGTACTATAAATATTTAAGATCTGGGAGTCTGTGGGTCAAGTTATTCTTGGCATTTGGCTGGGTCCGACACTTTTCCCCGCCTGTCAGGCCTGCAGTTTTTTAACACAACTAAGGTGCTCCCCTTCGACTGGCTTTGGCACAGCAGGGGAATTTCCCCTCTCTCCCTCCTCCTCCTCCAGAGCCATGCGGATTTATGGAGCGCAGAAAAGGAAGAGAACAAAAAGAAAACAAAAATAAATACGCCTTGCGGGGTACAAAAACCTGTCCACATGAACTCCTGAAAGCTTTGCCAAGTGTAATATTTGCTTGAATTGCTCTCTCATGTGTGGAAAGCGAAGTGATAATAGTGTTGAAGGCGGCGAGCCGGGCACTGGTTTAAAAGAGATAACAACATTTCACAGTCGCTTTTTTTAGAGGCCCAAATGAAAATGGAGCCTTTCATGCGCAGTGTATGAGCCCCTGGAAAGGATCCAGCAGCTGCTGTGAACATAAAACAGCTCTGCGCAAGAAAAGGATTGATAACCCTGCCTCTTTAAGCATGAGAGAGACTTACAGAGCTTTAGACAAAACTAGAAAGAGAGAGAAGGACTGAAAGAAGGGGGAAGGAGGAGTTTATGGGACGTGTGTGTGTGTGAACATGGATAACAAGATCCAAGACACTTGAAACATCAAGCAGAAAGCAGACCTGAAAGGACCAGGAGGACTGCAGTAGTGTGTTCTTTGGCATGTTTACATTCGCAAAGACTCACGGAGGAGTCCATACAATGATCAACACCCACTCACAGAATATTTCCAGTGTTCCGAGACGGGACATGGCTACTGCGCTTCCCAAAGTAGGCCCCTCCATTCAGTAGGCTTATTGTAACTGAACTGCTTCCCGCAGAATAAGGCCTTCATTAGATATTGATGCAAATAAGTGATTCATTCAAGAAGCAAATGGTTCTGGACTCGCACCTGTAACTTTTGTGGAGTTGAATTTCCAGATGAGACACCCAGATTGCTCCAGTAGAATACTCAGCGGAATAAGGTTGTAAAAGAAAGTCAGCTTGGATCAGCAAAGCATCAGCAAAATGAATTTTAATAAACTTGCCAAGAAGTGATTACAGCCTGCCTACGAAGAAAAAAGCAAAGCAACAGGGAGGGCTTCTCACATTTGAAGTACGACAAAAGGCAGAGAGAACTCACCTGGGGTTTTTCCCCTGTTGAAAAAAAAATGTAGTCCAATGGCAGGTTTATATTGCAAAGGCTGTCATTAAAAACATTTTACATTATGAAAACTTAATGAATACCAGAGGCTACAGTTTGCAGTGGCAGTCTATGAAAGGTCTGATGCTAACAGTTTTTCATTGTTTGTCAGATCCTTGTTTGGAGACAATTATTTCTTTGCACAAGGGTGAAAAGTAGAGTGTTGGGAACATACAGGAGGGAAACTGTGTCAGTTACTTGGTGAGTCACCTGGCTTGGCAGAAGATCCTGTCATCACTGGTTGGCCTGTTTCATTGTAT